TTTTTTTTTTTTGGTAAGTTGACGTATATATTAAAGGAAAACGATACAAAGATTATAAAGGGCATACCCTAGATTTATAATGAGGTTCTTCATTTGATATTTAGCTAGCCACCGAACAGAAAACTCAAGACCTAACTTGATTAGTGTAACCTTTTCACCTGACATAATAAACTTAGCTAAACTAATACGAACCTCGTGATCACGCAACCCACACGCAAAGACACCAATTCCTGGAAAGCCAAGTAAATCAGGTTTGATAGGAGTGTGACACAAAGATAACTTGTACCTAGGCCCTAACACTATTGGAAACGGAAAACACCCACCCAACGAATGTTGATTCGCGAACGAGAAGTATAAGGAGGACACCGCGAAGACAGTTGTTCTTCGATAAGTCGTTTTTAAGTTCATTAGAGAACTATGGAAGGGAGATTATATCACCAACACACACACAATGCATTTTATTAATCTAAATTGTCTCTCTTACATGTTTGGTTATGCCTCTATTTATAGTCACTCTAGACTTAAAAGAAACCCTAATGGACCCCTCTTGGGTGGACATATATGTAGCCCACTTCCAATTGACCCAAATAAGTAATAATAACCCAAAGACTAAGAAGAAAATAATAAAAATAATAAAAATCTGAAAATTATCATCCTAAATATGGTAGAATCAGATTTGTCACCATTAAGAACTCCCAAATAGACTAGGAAATCTGATATGAAGGTAGAATGTATTCTAAATTCTTCTTTCCTTTTTTCGCTCGAATGAATAAGGAATCCTTATAAGAAAAGGATTCTGAAATAATTATGAATCCTTGCCACATCTAGAAACTATGTTGTAGCCCATTAAACATCCTTGTAGAATTAGTATATTTCCAAAAAAGTGCCACATCCTTTTTGAAAAAGAATCCTAGCCAAATAGGAAGTCCACAAGTCAAAAGGAAGTAAATAACAAAATTCGTACAACCTATGTTGACTCGTATTTAGATGCCTTCCCAAACTCCGATTGACCTGAAAGTTTAACCCAATGTAAGAAAAGATGTCAGGAGACTCACATAACATTTCAACTCGATCCAACGGTTGGATTGAAAATTATGACTCTTGCCGTAAAACTAGATAGTTGCACATTTTTCTTCAAAATCCAAATTTGACCTTGCCTGGATCGTATCATAAACATAATGAAAGAAAAATAAATAAATAAATAAAATAAGAACATAAATAAGATAAAATTTAACTAAGTAAAGGAAAGGAAATGAAAGGCATAAACTTGATATTAATGAAAACAAAACCTAAACATTATAAAAATACAAAGAGAGAAAGTAAGAGCATGATCTTGATTAGGAGACCAAAATGCCTAAATGCATGCCCAATGCCTCCTTTTATAGGCCAAAATTAGGAACTATTGATTTGGTGACTAATTAATGAGTGGGTGGCCAATTCTTGACTTGGTGACAATCCTTATCTTCTCTTATCTACTTAAAACATCATTGATAATGTCAAAATTGAAACCACTTGAAAACACAAAAGTTGTAGGAAATTGTCTCATATATGGGCCAAACACTGAACAGTGTTCGGGCTGCAGGACAGATTTGAATTTCTTCATTGTTGCTATAATTTGGACTTGAAAATGACCTTTTTAAATCTTGAGCTCCATATAAAAGTTGGAGGCCTATTATGTCTTATCTTTCCATCCATATAAAGTAGACTTAAATCCAAGATTTACAACTCTAGATATGACCTGATTACCGAACAATGTTTCGGTTTAAACTGCACCAACATCTCTTTTTTAAGTTTAGCCATTATTTTGTCCTTTCAATTTCAGTTCTTGAACTCATTAATCAATCCTTCCATTTATATAATAGGCTTGCGTTTAAAATGAATATTTACCATAAATTAATGGTATCTTATATTATTAGATATGTTATTATAAAACATGCTTTAGTTAAG